CTTGATTGGCATTTTTATTATCTTGTAGTTTCTCGGATTGAGTCGGAACTTTCTCATCCCCCGACTGGTCCGCTGGATAAATATTTTCACGTCCAGTAAAAAATATTCCATTTGTATTACTTTCAATAGGAAGTAATACAAAAATAATCATAAATGCAATGAAAATCTTCATCGTTTTCGAAGCGCTTTAACAAATTTGCGTTGAATGTCTTCAACAATTAAACTCTCAACAATTATGAAAATTGCATTATTTACACCGCAAACATATCTTTCTCGTAAAAACTATTTCCTCAAAAGGGAAATAGAAGAAATTTTGCGGGAGAATTTTTCGAGAAATTTTGACAACAAAATATACTAAAGTCCAGACACAACTGAGTGTGAAGCACTTCGAGCTGTTCCTTCTCAGATGTGTTTAGTTGAAAAGGACGACCAAACAACTGATCCATTTACAGAATTACCCTCAAAAAATTGGGAAGTATCTTGTCTAATACACGAAAATTTTTATTCAGTCGAATTATAAATAGTCGTTTTTGTACTTTATTTACTTCTGTATTATTTATCTTTTAAAATAAACACTGGTATTTAAACACATTACCGAAAATTATTCATCTTTGCTCGGTTTTGTTTTCCGTTTACAGTATACACGTTATATATCAATACAACTAAATAAAGTATTTACGCTGAAGGGATTTCAAACTAAAAGTTATAGGCTAGTAACAACAAGAAATAATTTCTCCTTTACATAAGGCTGTAATATATCTAAATCTTCGATATGTATAGCAGGAACTGATCATAATAATAAACAGTGTTTTTGCGCTTCTGAAGATATGAAAGATATATCTTTATTCTGAAAATATATGATGTGTTACAATTATTGGTCTGATACTGTTTTTATTACCTGCTCACAGTGTGCGGACTTGCTGTAAAATATATTATGAAAGGTTATAATCAGGGCCCGCTCTAGCGGTTACGTCGCCCCGGACAAAAAGACAAATTTCCGCCCCTTTAGAATATATATATATATTTAAATNTTAAATTAATAAATTAATGATCATATTAAAATTACTATACTTTCAAGTGGTATATAACCCAAAAAAAAAAATTTTAGAACAAAAATAAAACTTGTATAACCCACTATACTCTACCCCTCACAATACTGGCTGCTCTAAAGGCACAATTTAAAATCTGCATACAACCTACTCCATTGCATTACCAACACCCTGTTTCAAGTTTCTTTTAAATAAAGATAATCCATGGATAATACACACAAAAATTTATTATAGTATGTTAAGAGAATTTAAATTTTAAACTTTCCATTACCTTCTTTTTTGATAATTTACACCACATGACATTAAAATATTTCGGAAAACAATTATCATCATCATTTTCAACATCAATTCTCTTTTCATTTATACTTGAGTTTTCTATATTTAACTTCTCTGCATCAAAATCATCAAGGCACGATGTTATAATTTTACTTTTAAAATCGTTTCCATCAGGTTTTGATTGTTCTTCGGAAAAATTATTAAAAAAATTATCTTCTTTTTGTTCTTTTATTTCTGATGTTGATTTCAATAAAAGCTTAAGCACATCTGATGTTGACCTTGTTTGATTATAATTCACTTGACTTTTCTGTTTATCCTGAAATTATACTAACGTTTTTAATGTTTATCTTAAATTTAATCTAAAATTAATCTTAAATCTTAAATTTTTAAAAAATTTTAATAAGCAATGAAGTTTCTAAAAAAATTATGCCTACAGTTATAATTTTATTTTTGAAATTATAACTTTAAATGAAATTATATTGCATATGCATAAAATAAATTATGACTTTAACATGTTACAAATTTAAAACTAGGTAATATCATAATAGTCACATAAGAAAATAAATAAAATCAGTTAAAGATAAAGATAAAAACCTGAGCATGCAGAAAAAATTTTATGAGAAAAGAAAAAGTCTGTCCAGAACAATCAAGTCTGAATTTTCTTATACAGGGTTTGCATTGCAAAAAATTGTTATTCCTGAAAATGGGAGATAGAACTCATTGAGATAAGCAAAAAAGTACACTAACATATTTGCAAATTTGCAATAGTTATGAAAATATTCAAGTTTAAAAGTTTGCCAAACAATGCCAGAATGGGCTGCCATTACAGACTTGCCAACTGTTGACTTACAACTGAAAATGGAAGGATAGATTGAAAAGCAATTTCAAAAACCTCATCATTGCAGTATACTTCTTCCCTCTAAACTGGAAACATTAAAATTCTAAAATAACCTGGAGCTGTCTTTTTATTGAAAGTTTTTGTGCAAAATAAAGTGGAATCTATTGCAATTTTTTTCTTGTTTTAAAACATTGTTTAGTTCAATAAATCTTTATATTTTAAAATGATAGTTTAAATAGTGATAACTGTAGCATAATTCCTGAAAAAATTGGCTTCAAATTTGTAGCTTTAACCTCAAATATTTTGGTAACTATTTTAAATTTGCAAATATGTTACTCTACATTTTTTTGCTTATCTCAATAAGTTCTATCACCCATTTCCATGAATAACACTTCATTTGCAACACCCTGTACAAAAGTGTAAATAATATCACCATTTGCATATGATTTACATTAAGAGTAACATTATCTTGAAATCAATATAATTATTGATGGTGTCTAAATTTAAGTCAAAAACAAATATATAAAAAAAAAAAAATAAAGGAGAAAAACATATTTTGTTTCAATGAGAATCAATTTAAAAATTACATGTTTATAATCAAGACTCATTATGCTGTCTTAATATCCTGCAAGTGATGGATAAATGACTTAATGATTTGCATTGGAGAAACTATGGTAGGTTTGATATCATTAGGAAGGTGGACTAATTTAATCCCAGGTTAGTATGTCAGTTGTGCACAAAAAGGTTAAACAAGTAGTAGATAAAACAATGCAGTCCTGTTCCATGGCCATCACATTCTCTGGATGCCACTGGATTTTTTCTTGTAAAATCACCTAAAAGCACCAGTTTACAATGTGCATCAAACAGTGCTATATGATTTTTGAAAGATGCAGAGATGAATACAAGAGACTTTTAGGATGGCAACATCAGATGTATGTCATCTGTAACACCATTCTCAACTGTCTACACTTTTATATTGTTACTAAAGGTAATCATTTTGAGTATTATTACAGCAAAATAAAACTAACTAGTTTTCTATTCATTTATGCATTATTGGATTTTATCCTTTACAGTCAGATTCTTCATATGTTAGTTAAATCTTCTCAAAATGACTTCCTTGTTATCCTTGTGTTTGGGAGAAACATAAAAAGTTACATTCTGTCTCAAAACTATTGACAAGGAGAGGGTCAGATGTTTAGATCTCTGATTCGAATGAAATAATGTAATTATTTTACTTTATCATTATCATTACTGTTATTATTCTGCTATAGTGTCTTTATTTTTTATTTTTTTAATTTATATAGGCTATGTCAGCCTAGTTTCATAACAAACTTGTCTTTTTTGTCCATGCACAGTAATGTCTGAAGCTTATTTGTTCATGGTGACATAGTACTACATATGTATTTTTAATTAAACTTCCAACTTTTTGCATCCACTTTATTTTATAAGCTTTAAACATAAATAATAAGAATACTAATAATAATTGCTAATGATATGGTAAAATAATAAAATAATTAAGTTATACATAAAAAACAATAAAATTGCAGTTTCAAACCTACATCACATTGCTCCTAGCATCTTGTCCATTTGGCTATTGCCACTCTGAGGAAAACAGCAAACTTCCAGTCTTATAAGCTAAACCTCAATTTTCAGAGGCACATTTTTCAAAAATGCTTGAAGTGGATTTCATTATTTGGACAAGGAGCTCTGCGTTAAAAGGTACACACTCACCAAGTTTTGTTCAAATCAGAGACCCAAATGCCCAATCCTCACCTTCTGAATGTTTTACACATTCCTTTTTTGAATTAATTCAATCTAAACATTGCAACGGAATAATACATCATATAAATATCCAGGATTTTGAGAATATGGGTGCTGTTCAAGGCAGGTGCTCTGTCATTTCTTGGAGATTATTACTCAATTACCTTTGAATTTCATTTAGTCACCTAATCTTACATAATTGAACTTGTGCAATTATGTAAGATTATGTGAATGTGTGTTATATTTATTTTTACATAAAGTAACAAAACTAACTACAGCCTAATCAAATGTGATTAGTTACATTGTATATGTGATATGACATATATATTTATTTATAATGTTATATTTAAGTTATACATAGTTACTTGATTTTGATTACATTACTATTCGAGTACAAAACTGTAAAGTAGCATAAAGCACCCTTCTCAAGCCACACAGAGATCACTGCCAATTGATTTATCTCGAGTCACGTAATATGTAAAATTATCCCCAGCCATCCTCTGCTATATTAACACCCATCCTACAAATCTATCTATAAATACAAGATTACATAGACCAGTGCTTCTCAAAGTGAGCGATGGGCATATAGAAAGCGACAAGCTCTGTCGCCTCCTATAGCCGTTCTGCATACACAGAACAGAGGGCATTACTACTAATGGTCACAACCAAAGGGGTTGGTGATCCAAAAAGTTCGAGAAGAGCCAACATACGTTGCGAATAAATCTTGTAAACGTGGGCATTTACACATTTGTGTAAAATTCTTATTATTATATCGGCAACAGCAGAGATAAAATCAGACACATTCATAATCATAAATAAAAATAGATAATTACATCAAGTTTGATAATTGTTTTTCAAATGCATTCAAATAACTGAAATTAAATAAAAAAAAATCTACCTCACGTCTAGGTTCTTTTACATTGTTAATTACATTGGAATTAAGCGAATGATTAACTGACTCGGTCAATATTTCGGTAAACGGCATCTTGTTTTGTTGTTTTGTCGCGAACGGAGCCTTGAAACAAGGCCTTTTATATGAGGATTCTCGTTGACTGGGAGCGGCTGAACGTCTCATTTCCCCTTGTTAAAAGATAATTAAAGTTTATATTACTGATAATTTGTAAAAATAATTATTTTGATAATAACTTTTGTGTCTTTTTCTTAATGTTTCTACACTCTTTAACTATCTACAACACGTGTAGAAACACCTTGCATTTCAATTTCAATCGGTTTCCCGCGCGTGGAATTATTCCGGCGATCAGCGCCGCCTAACTTCTATCCAGGTCAGTGTGCGTGACGTCACATGTCGCTCAGAAGTACAGTATGGAGATCGGTTTTTGATTTTATCGAAGCAAAGTAAAAAAGTAATGCCAGCTTCTAGCAAGAACTATTACAAAGAAATCGTTACAAATGTTTGTGGCATTTTGATACAGGTTGCCCCACAAAACATTCTATGTGTTTTGGAAATGTCTATCAAATATGTCTCTAAAAAATTTAAGAAAAACGCTTCGTGTACAGGTTGTAAATCGCTACCTAATTCATTTTCTCCATTCGTAATTTTACTTTTGACGTTGAACTATGTCCTTTACCGAGTCTATGCGAGGGTACGATACCGGTACCAAGAAGTGTAAAGTTTGAAACGGTTACCACACCGTCCACACGGAAACTATAAAAGCTATATTAATGATTTATTTATAATTGGATAGAAAATATATATCGCTTTCTAACAATACATAAACTTGTTGGACTAGATACGTGAAGGATAGAGTGAACGCGACGAAAATGGCCGTCTTTACCTACCTCGGCGCGACACCGCGCTATAATTCAGGGCCGATTGCATCAGTTTGACCTGAGATACATAAGAAAACAATATCTCATTATGTAGCCTTAAAGGAGACTGGCGGATGGTTAAGTTGACTTAATTACCTTCACTTACCTGATTTATTTATAAGATTTTAAACAAATGAACATATTGAATTTATACAATTTATTGTTGATGTACTGTATATGTTTTATATAAATTTATATGTTTTTTAGTGGATAACGTTCTTATTAGTGATGCAACTCTCCGTAATTGCTTCTGTTTTCTGCTACATCTTTTTACTATTTACTCTGGCATTTCTTCTATCAAAACTCTTTTTATTAAGAAATTTCAAAAGGAGTATTTATTATAACAAAGAAAATGCAAAAAATGGAAACATTAAGAACACAGTATTTACCAGTTCGTAATACTGTATATTGTAAGAGGATATATTCAGGGAATGGTGATGAAATGTTCTCAAACTCTCGACGAATATTATTTCAACTCTATGTAAAAGTCGTAAAACTGTGTACAATATGGAAAAATTATTAAAATAAAGTTTCTTATCTATCTAGAAAAAATGAGAACAAAACACTATAAGTAACTTTCTTATGACGTTCGATGCAAACAGTGAAATTTTCGTGGTTCTCTGGATCTAAAGACCGCGTTAAATAGTCATAGTTACTCTCTTCTAATGAACCTGTCGATGTTTGATTAATTTTCAAATATTCAAATATATTGGACTGCAATTTGAAAAAGTTGTATACTTATAAATTCCCAATATCGTCCGGCTGTCTACTCGTGTGTCTGTCCTCACGTAATCTCGATAACGGAGTTAGATACAGTATGAAAGTCAAGAACGGATATACAAAGTTTATTGGCAGAAGGCCCGATCAACTATATATATATATGAACTTCCGTTGCAAACTGGCTTAAGTCATTGAACTTATACATAAAGTACAGTTCATGTACATTAATGTACTGGTACTTCTCATTGCTACCCTGTAAATAAACCTACGAATTTATTATTAAAATTCCTTTAGTGCAGGGGTGTCCAACCTTTTTGTTTCTCTGGGCCGCATTGGAAGAAGTCAAGGAGATTTGGGCCACAAGTTTATATAATATATACTTGTGGCCCAATATACAAGTATATTTAAGGATTAACATGTGTAGATTATAATAATAAATATTAAAACTTTATCACGAAAAAGGATACAGTATTTTTAAAAATTACTTCTACTGACACTTTCGATTTTTACTTAGAATATAATGTATATAAATTCATTTATTTTTTTCGAATATTTTTTACGTCAAACAAAAAAAAATAGCCACATTTGGCGCAAATGTAGCCAAATCTTGCAACGTTGGAAGAAATACTAAATAAAGCTGGAGTTGTGATTCAAAGGATTATAGGCCCAAATGAGGGGGAAAGGAGAAAAAGGACAAAAGATAAAGATGTGAGAAAGGTTGGAAAATTGAGGGTCAATATTTGCATAACAGATCTATTTACCCTTTCTCACTACTTTTTATCTTTTGTCCTTTCTCACCTTTCCCTCCTTTTCCCAAATTTGGATCTATAATCCTTTGAGTCATAACTCCAGCTTTATTTAGTAATCCTTCCTCATTCACACATCTCCAAATATTTGAAAATATTTCCTTTCCGCTCAAAAATAAAATATAAATGAAGGTTTACGGCTTTGTGAAACTTCTTTTTGAGTTTACGCCGTTGAAATAAATAAATAATAAAAAAATTAAAACATTTGTCGGTTTTGTTTACATGTTTACATGGGCCGCATTAAAACTTGCCTTGGGCCGCATGCGGCCCGCGGGCTGGACACCCCTGCTTTAATATATCGCCCAAAAACTGTTTTTCGCCCCCCAAAATATAAATTGTTACTAATCGCCCCCTCAACATGGAAAAACACCCACATGGGGGAGATATCGCCCCCGTTGAGAAACACTGATGTAGGCCTACTACTTAGCTTTAATTTGAGTGTGTTTTTCATGTTGGAACGAATTATTTTTATTTTTTACATGTAATCGTATGGGGGAAAAATGATTCTCCTTACAACATTTTCATGATATGACCTCAGTTTCGGAACAGATTAATTTTGTATCCTGAGGTAC